CTAGAACAGTATACCGCCGCTCCTTTAAACTTCCACCCTTGCCCTGCCCTAAAGATTGTCATCTCATAGGACACGTTTTAGATACGTTAGGAAGCGTGCCAGATAGGCGGAGATAGTTTCTAGAATGGGTTTCCCCATTGTGGGAATCCACTTACTTCATTTGGGAACTGCGCCAAAGAGACAAACTTTGCACCACAGACACACAACACTTTAGAGGAGGGAAGAAGCCAAGTCCAGTAGCAGCCATTTTAATAACAGTACAATACCAAACACGAAACGGAATAAGAAAAGGCAGGCGGTAAGAGGGTGCCACAGACAGTTTGTATTCTTAAGCCTATTCCTTTGCTCTTTGTGTTTGTCTGTTTGTTTTGTTTTTTGCTTCTACAATAACTGTCATCGTGTCTATGTGAAGATACTTGTACTAAATCTATACACGACGGAAAGAAGAACAAATGTAAAGCCGAAATGCTTCCGTACAAATACAAATTATATTCCCTGTAATTCTACATTGCTGAATAATGAAGACCCACACTTCAGAGCCCCTGACCTAATGAGACGAACACGCTCCCACCTTGTAAGCTTTGAGTCATAGATATTGACAGCAGAACTTAAGAACAAGATTCAGAATCTGAAAACTGAAATGCTATGAATTACTCCGGGCGGGTTGCATACTGCAAATTAATCTCTCATATAAAGTGTAAAAGATATGTAAAGAATCCAGCGAGATGGGTGGCCATACTGCGAAAGGAAACAACGCAAGATCATCTGGATTTGTAAAAACTATCCTGCAGTGCATCATGCACAGTACAACGAGGTGGAAGAATGAGGGGGGGGGGGGGAGAGAGAGAGAGAGAGAGAGAGATCAGCAGTAGAAAAGATGTGAGGATGGCATCTTGTAGTGGATAGCTCTGAAATTATTATTAATTATATAGCTACATGTACGACCAGTAATCGGAAGCTGTGGTATGAAATAAGTGAAAAGTCATTAGGTGCTGCCCAAACGCTGGGCGAGATTACAGGTTGATGATGATGATGATGATGATGATGATGATGATGATGATGATGATGATGATGATGATGATGATGATGATTCCTTCTCACGATCCTGAAGGAACGTTGAGAATTATTTTATGATATATTGTCATAAAACTAACAATACCCTATCCTCCACCATTTTTTTCTTGTTTATTGTACTTATCGTCGTGCTCACCACAATGATGATGATGATGATGATGATGATGATGATGATGATGATGATGATGATGATGAGCCCACTCGCTAAAACACAAACACTTCAGAGGACTTAACGCGTAACAACGCACAGACACTTCAGAACACTTAGCCAGTAACACCGCCTCAAAGTAGATGAGAAGACTTTGTATAGAACATGACGTGTTTCGTGATGGGGAAGAGGAAAAGAAACAACCCTTTGCACAAACATGTAGCCTATAATATATTATGCTTAACCCCATTCGTTAATTAAGTTCAATATACTCGTATAATCAGCCGCAACAATTCTGCGGTGTCCTGATAAAATAATATGGGTACGTCGATATTCAGGAGAAGTTATTTAAATAGAGTTTCAATAGCTCCTGTGGGTTTTTTTCCCTTTTCTCACACACACACACACACACACACACACACACACACACACACACACACACACACAATCAAAGAAACACACACAAAATTAGGGACGGTATTTTTCATACAGTATACGAACAAAATATTGAGAAAGGAAATAAAATTACAAGTCTTGAACTGCTAAGTTTCATTTAATGTTTGGTTTATTATTGAAGTTTCTGTTTGGACATGGTCTGATCCATACTGCGTTCAATGTTGTGTGTCACCCTGTGTGCATGAAACGATTGAAATAATGGATATTTGTGAAAATAGCCCTAATTATATGATAAAAGTGCATGAGTTGTATTTGAGTTGGTACACCAAGTTATCTAAACATAGAAGACAACTGATTTTATCACCGTCGTTGCCTTTCTCTCTTGGATGAGCATATAGGCCATGAACAAACACTTTCCACTCGTTTGATGTACCTCCAAGTCTTCCCACTTTTCTGTACATCCATTTCCGTGACTCGTCTCTAGGTTCCACGTGGTCTTCCCCTTGATATTTTACCCTGTGGCTTTTAATCTAGCTCTGTCCTTATTATCCAGCTGCTTGACTTCCTGAAAGTGTGTCCAATCCATCGCCAACGCCTTCTTCCCACCTCATCTCTGACTGGGCTCTGTCTAAATCAGAGTGCTAAAAATCATTATGACGTGGATATGCGTGTGAAAAAAATGGCATCTGGATGGAAAATCATTGGCTTGTTTGGAAAACAACAAATTGTGCTATATTGATGATTGGGGGCACAAGTCCTGTATTGGTTATCACAGTTAGTCCAAGTGTGAGACCAAAACCTGCACAATTTTACATTAATCTGTGTCTCTTCAAGACTATCTTTGTCTTGACTCCCTTAGGCCAATGACTGCTGTGCTATACCGTCTCTTCCTATGTTCTATTGTGTCACATACTGCTGCCATTTTTTCGGTGCATTTTTCAGAATGTTGATGGTGATGTGGTAAAGATGTCCTAACCAATTGAGTCATAGTTGCATAAGTGTTAAAAATACAATTGGAGCTCATGCTCTTTCCAGCTTCGTAATTTTGACCTTCTTACCATGCCATGATGTTCATTGAATACTTTTACTGCATTTCTGACAAACAATATTGGGTCCTTTCATTTAAATTACTGTATATGCCTCAGTCAAGTGCATCAGTGACACCAGGACGAATTAGCGGTAGTAGGCCTACTACCAATTATAAGAGCCCAGACGCGAAAGTCTGAGAAAGTATAAATTAGAACCCGTCCCCAATGTTACAGAGCCACGTAGGAATAGAAAAGGGGAAATCGTTGTTCAATAATGCGCATTATCTGGGGTGCCCATTACGGATGGGATTGGCGGAACGCGTTTGTTTTCACAAGCGACCAAGTCGGACGATTGGTCCGACCCTTCGTAATGGGCACACGGTATTAGAAGTATATCAAAAGAAGTAAAAGTGGCCCGTGTTTGAAAACCAGGTTACTTCAACTTCCAGCCGACGAGACCCTGAGTGTAGCCAGCAGTGGTACATAG